TTATAATCAAACATCGTTTTTTTCGACAGCCTCAACCTCGACTTAAAGTGAAAAAATAATAATACAGCCTTATACAGTGTACAGTTTAAGATGCAGTATTCAGAATATTCAATATATACAGAACTGTTAGTAGTATATAGTTTGATTACGTTCTTGTTCACCAAACGCCAAAGATACCTGTTAGAAACCTTTCTTTTCGTTGTTGGGCTCATTTTATTGCCCTCAAATAATATTCATAAGCCTTTTAGTACATAAATGAACTGAACAACTCGAAATGAGATCAGCATAACATCGTCCATATGGTCTAAGTTAGAGCTAATTTAGCTAAATATACTTACCTATCCTAAAGTTTCTTCAATTACAAAATATAGGTACCTACCTTACTTATTTTTTGGACCAGTCAAGTAATTTAATAATAAATAATAACAAGTAAATAGTACTACAATAAATATATAACCATGAAATTCATGTGCGCTAAAGACGTTTCTGAAACATTTTTGAAACGTTTCCATGATATGTTACATTTGTGCAATATAACTGCACATTTGAAACGTTTCAGTCATGTTTCATGTTTAGCGGGCTCTATCTAGATGGCATAAATTATGAAACATTTTTAATCAAAAATTGCAAGCAATTCATTGGAAGTTAATTGCCAAACGCCAAGCATCGTTCTCTCAAAAAATCGTAAAAGCAAAGTCTGTGTTTCACTTATTGGAAAATTAAGTCAATTCGGTCATGCACATGTTAAATTTCAATCACTAGAAACCAGTTGAATTTACCAAAACGTCTCACGACAAACTTTCTCGCTCGTATTTTCACGCCAAAAAGGTGCAGTTGCAGGAAAGACTTGAGCGTGCCTCAAAGTTACCATCTAAAAAGGTTCAAACTGCCACAGTTTTTGAACGTCCCTAGAGGCTCTCTTGGCAAGTTTTGCTAAATGGGTCTGTAAATTTAGTAGACTTGTGATACTTAACTTGCATACCGAGTATCATACCTGTACCTTTTATACCATACTGTATATGACATTTTAAAGTCCCTCAGATTAAAATTGTGCCACCCTGTATATGTATATGTAGTACATAATATTACATTCTGCTTCTGTGGATTTTTGCACTTGCAACAGTATAACATAATATCTTTACAGATTTACGGAGAAAATCCATGCGTGTTAAGGAAGATTATTGGCGACCATGGAAAAATGAACTGGACAGAACTAGCAAATACGAAAGGAGTGTTGCCACGAAGTCCTACCCATCCTGAATGCAAATCCAAATCAGGATTTTGTTTTATTGCTGGTAATTTACCAGAACACAAACGTAAAAAGATCTACATTTTTCCAATGTATAATTATTCTTTTAGGTGATGGTAGAGCATCAGAGCAGCCGGGCCTTACAATGATCCACACCATTTATATGAGAGAACATAACAGAATTCGAGATGCTTTGCATCAAATTAATCCACATTGGGGCCATGAAAAGCTCTTTGAAGAATCCCGAAAAATTGTAATCGCAAGTTTTCAACACGTAGTTTATAACGAATTCTTGCCTAGAATTCTTGGGTGGAATGCGATGAGTCTCTATGGATTAAAACTGCTACCTCAAGGCTATTATAAAGAATATAATCCCAACTGCAATCCGGCCGCATTCACAGAATTTGCAGCGGCCGCTTTTAGAATTGGTCATTCACTTTTGAGGCCTCATATTCCTAGACTGGACAATAACTACAATATTGTGGAGCCGCCAATTCTGTTACGAGACTTTTTCTTCGAAACGGACATCATGATGAAGGTATAACAAGATGACACTATACAGGGTGATTTACGTAGACCGTGCATTAGAAGTATTCCAACGGGCAGTTGTTTTAGAAATTTCAAATTTTGCTTCATAAATTGAAACATCCTGTATGAGTCATCGTCAGAAAGATCCTGACGGATTTGCACTTTATACGCCTGAAACGTATTCAATTTTACTTTCGTCCACAACTGCGGTGGACATTATCAAAGGCGATGAGGCAGTGGGCTTTCCGACTAAGACGGAACTGTCTGACGTTCGTGACGTAAGACAGTTCCGTCTTAGTCGGAAAGCACGGGAGATCACTTTGCCCACTGCCTCATCGCCTTTGATAATGTCCACCGCAGTTGTGGACGAAACGTCAGGAAGAAATTCTCATGGCCCACGGCTTCAAAGCCCGAAAAACATGTCTATATGTTTTTTATTGCTTTCCATTTACCTAACATTATTATTTCAGCCTGGACTAATCGATGATATTGCTCGTGGAATGGTGTCGACGCCAATGGAGAACCTCGATCAATTTATTACAGGAGAAGTAACAAATCATTTATTTGAGGATCGCAAAATACCCTTCTCAGGGATCGATCTTATCGCGCTTAATGTACAAAGAGCTAGGGATCATGGTAAGTTTTTATGCCTAGATTCATGATTTATAATGTCTAACAATTAATATGCAAGTGAGGTATCAGCAGAAGTACTTGCAAAGGAAAAGTATTTCAATTAACACATAATTTAATTCCCTTCTTTCGACTACTAGGTATACCTTCGTATAATAACTACAGAGCTCTGTGTAACCTTAAACGAGCAACCACTTGGGAGGATTTGTCCCGAGAAATACCTCCAGATACTATAAACCGGTTAAAATCGATCTATCAAACAGTAGATGACATTGATCTGTTTCCTGGAGGGATGAGTGAGCGACCTCTCCAAGGGGGTCTGATAGGTCCTACATTTGGATGCATCATTGCCATACAATTTAGACATGCCAGAAAATGTGATAGATTTTGGTAAGTTTGCAAAAGCAACATGTGGATATTTCAACAGGCTGCTTTAAGTTGAGTCGATATCGATAACTTTGTCAGCCAATGACTTCAACTTCAAAAAATTTGCCTAGATTCAACATTTTTCGCATCTTGATGGCATTTTTTTCATCCCTGTAGTATCATCATTCTATCATTCATCGGTTTCACAAATGAAGAAATGGGAGTACACAAGTTATAAGGGTTTGAAAGTCGAAAAGACGATTTTTCAATGCACATGTTAACAATGTTTTTTGGGAAAACAACTTTTGGTATGGTAGAAATGTTCTGCATACCTCTGTTAATATCGGGTCGATTTGCAAATATTAAAATTTGTGAAAAACGTACGATTTTCTATAAAAACTGCAGCTCGGAAAATCGGTTGAAAAAGTTGAAGTTATGAAGGCCGAAAAGATGATTTCTTGTAAGTCAAAAGTTTAACTATTTGAAACAAACAAAGAAATAAAGACCAACAAAAAATGATACAAATATTCGACTAATATCTAACCTCAGTTTAAACTAAAGGATGTATAGACTAGAGTATATTCTCACCAGCTTTCTGCAAGCTGGCGCCCCATCCTTTATTTTCTACCCATTAATCCTCAAAAAAATTACATTACGCTTGAACAAACAATAAAGATCAACCCCGAATTAAAAACTTTAATTCTTCAGTTCGCAGATAACGGATAATATATCTGTGAACAAACGATTGATAACGTATTTTGTTCACTTAGCGTACCAAACTGAATATTTAGTCACTTTAAAAAAAAAACTCAATAGAATTAACGTGATGAATTATTTGCACTTCCATTTCCGTTTTTATTGTTGACTATTTTGCAGAAAGTGCCTGTTCGATCGCAAAAATGTTGAAACGTAAGTTTCTGGTCCAAACTCGTTTGGATGGTCGTTGTGAAAAAACAAGTTTCTCAGCCAAATATCGATTTGGCGTCAATCATGGAGCTGAATAGACTTTTTCATGCTAAAATAAATGCTCTCGGTTTTTTGTTCGATTTTTGTGAAACTGAGTCTTCAGCTGGATATGTTGTGTAGAGCCACAGTTAGATCCACATTCAATGCTCCCATGGAATACAAAACTTTTCATGCTTACAACGCTTTTCACTCATTTTCACAATATTTATGAAAGGACCGATATTCAGAATGCCACTTATTTACTGATTGTTACCTTTTAATCTAGGTATGAAACCAATGATCCAGTAGTAAGATTCACCGAAGCTCAATTAGCTGAAATTAGGAAAGTAACTTTAGCTAAAACTGTCTGTGATAATATAGATGGTAATAGTGATATGCAAAGGTCTGCCTTCGAATTACCCTCAAACTTCCTCAATCCAAGGTAGGGCAGCGATCGCCACTAACTATAAAAAACCATATACTAAATTGGTTTATCCTTTCAGAGTACCTTGTAGAAACCATCCGACTATAGATTTTAAGCCATGGAGAGAAAATGCACCAGGGCAAGGTTGCCTAATAGGTGGAAGACACGCCAAAGTAGGTGAAAGTGTCTTTCCCTCACCATGTACGAGTTGTATATGCACGACCGAAGGAGTAAGTTGGTTAAGAGAAGAAACAAAGTACAACAGGAAATTAATAATTTATTTTTCTCAGGGTACTTGTGCATCTCTAAAAATAACGGACTGCAGCCAGCTCTTACGGGAATGGTCAAAAAGCAATATTCTCCGAGATGAAGTTTGCACTGCCCAATGTGGTTACTTGTTACGCAACTCTGGGCTTTCAATATCCAACAAAGCCAATAACTTTCAATCTAGACAACAATTTGTTCGTCAAACCAAAATATCGGATCCCATTGGGTTTGACTTTCCTAGGGAAGTCCCCGATTTGAGCCCATTTATTGTTTAAAGAGGCTTGCGACTGATAATTTTACTTTCTTTCTATAGTTAAATATAAAAATGCCCAATTTGTCCAATGTTAAGTTTTCAAATTGATTTGCACTTTTTTCTGAAAAATATTGATATTAGAAGTGTAATTGATTTTTATATAGTGCAAACCTTTACGAATTGTTAGTGATATTACAGGTTCATATAACATTATATTAGTTACCTAATATATGCCACAAATGGTCGTATTTATCATTACTATAAATCTAAAAATATAGGCGAGACGTTTTAGCTTTTGACCGTCGACTTTCACTCACTGCCAAAACAGGCCTCGATCTTTAAGCTACACTTTTGTAACGTCCTGAGGTCACTCTCCCCTATATCAGGTACGAAGGGATAACATTTTGCGTTTAAGTGTATTTTAGAGGTCAGACTTTTTATATCTCATTAGCCCAAGTAATTTATTTGATTTGATCCATATGAAAATGAACTATTTTAAATGGCAAAGATAAAACGTGTCTAATGTATGTATGTGTTATGGCTAAATATCGAAATTTGTTACCAACCAGTTGTACCAGTTACTCACAAGTTAAACTAAAATGTTTGATTAATGTTAATATTACATCAGAAACATTGTTTTTTCTAACACTAGCCAGATAATGACATATTCCCACCTAACTATAAACAAAGAAGTTATTAAATTTAACCAGTTAAATTAACAGTGAATAAACATCTGTCCAGTTTATAAGTAGAGGTAGATACGCAAACACTCAAAACACAAGAGTTATAGGGCTACTTTTAAATCGCCATAAAAGATTATTGGAAGTTGGTCGGAAGGATTAATTAGAGGAGATATTGGGACAATAATTTGCTCGCGATTTCCGGCTGTGCTCGATGCTAGTAAAAAAAAATTAATTATTTTTCAAGGTATTAAAAATACCTACAATACCAGACAAACTAAATCAAAATCCGTTAATTAGTTTACTCAAAAAACGAAAAACCCGCCAATTTTAGCGTTTTCTTTAATTTTCTCTAATTAATGGTACGCCCAGCGCTTCAAAAAATTCCTACAATCACTTTTTTGAAGGTATTTGTACACTTTATAAGTGGTTTAAATTTTAGCTTAAAATATTAATAACTTTTTATTCATTCCTTGTTATTAAAAAACGGCTCTTGCCGGATTGTAATTTTTTTCTGAGACGTCGAAGCGACTTCTCTGAGGGTCTAATTTACTCGTAAAGACTTATACTTCAACTTACAATAAAGGAGAAGGTGACTAATGAAGAGTAAATTGTTTAAACATTAAGTTAAAAATCAGGTATGTTGTAAAAATGTTGAGTTTGTAAATTAATAATTATGAAATTTGTATAATAATTACCAATAACGATCAGTCTAGGTATCGAAATTTAGGGAATTTGCCCTGTACTTTGGGAAAACTTTGCCATGTACTTTTTTTGATCCATTCGATTTTCAGGCGATTTAAAACAACTCTTGTGTACACATAGTTTCTGAACACCTTCTGCTAATAATAAATGCCAGAAGTTGTCTATTTAGTCGCATTTGTATGAACCAAATATTATTCAGATTAAACAGATTTCGTACTTTAACCGTTTCTATACAACAAAAAAGTGTATGTTTTCTTTGGGTGAAGTTATATTGAAAGTTCTATGTATGTTACCTTGAGCGCAATGGAGAGTAAACTTGCACGAAACAATAAGTTGAATGCACCATTTAATTTATTAGAACCACTTGGCAATTTTCGACATGAAAAAATTATCTTGCAATAAACATTTCTTTAAGCACGTTTCTTTAAAATTCCGATCTCAGTTCAGAAATATTGTTTAAAGGCAGAGCGAGGATAAAATCTAACGACACTGACCTGTGGACATGGGTAACACTGTGTTGTGTGGCGCTTTTGAGTTGATGCCGCTCTGTGCTTTAATGCTTTGTAACGCTATAGAATATAACTATCATCACGTGAACGTACACTTTAAAAAGCCTCATTGTATATGACAAATGAACGCTGCCTCATATCAATACATATAAGAGTAATATGATGTTATCACGGAGTAGTTGATAATTTTCGTTATATCAATTCGAAACTTCAACTGTTTAGATTAACTCTGTATAAAAGTGTACATAATACTCTATAAATATGGTTAGGAGCATACACTTAATCTAGTGGTCTATTATGGCCAGAATATGTAATAGTTTTTAAACTATGTTGTTAATATCAAAAGAGATAGACTTTATTTTTTTATGTTAATATTTTGTATAATGATACAGAAATACTAGGATCTTGAAAAAAACGTAAAGTATGTAAAACTTATTTAACTTAAACACACGAATTTTCAGGTAAATAAATAAATATCGTAAAATAAATAAGAACAATACCTTTACTGCGTTTTGCATGTTTTGTCAAATTTGATATCCTTATCTCTATCCTATTCTTTCACAAAATGCATAGCCATGATAAAAATGAATGAAAACTGAAAGAACTTACCTCAACTGTCGGTTCGCACGACGACGGACGAATTTAGTGTGTACATTGCCATTGCACTGTTGCTCCTGAGATAATTTGCAATATAAAGTGAATTCAAAATACTCGTGTGATACTCATAAACATCTTTTTTAATAATGTCGTTTAACTTCAAATATAACTATTACATATTATAAACCTGTAGCAGTGCTTTCAAAGTAAGGTACTATAATGATGAAACATGCAAATTAAAATGTAAAAAAATATGCAAATTAACACACAGAAAACATCATGTGAACTATTATTCAAATTTTAATGAAGTTTTATCGATTAGTATTGACTAAATAAACCTGTAGTTCCAATCTTTCTAAACTTAAATGGTCTGCGTCGATTCTTGCCGCTAAAACACAAATCACATGACATCAGAGTTGACAAAAATTTTTAAATAACAATACCTTATGTTTTGTATGAATTTAGCATTTGGTTGGAATGTCTTCGGATCCAAGGTTTCAAGATACACGTCTAGATATGAACAAAGATGCTGCAATTGTGCTGATAATAACCAGGCAGAACTTTTCATGCCATGGTCCCAGTTTACATTCAAGGTTCTTTCTATATCCTGAAATTGCAAATATGTAATTTTTAAATTTCCATGTCTAATCCTGTGATTTCTACTTCTTTCGGACTACTAAGCAACTAAACATGATTATTACCCGAATCTCATCGCAGTTTGAGGAATTATGGTGTCCTTTGTAGTTCAGATCCAAAACAAATATAGGTGGTGGTAACGGATATGTATTTTTAATTACAACAAAAGCTTTAAGGTTTGCTAAAAAAATAAAATATGCTGCTATTATGATTAATATTATTTGATGTTATAAAGTCTAGTAATGGACCATTTTGGAATTACAAGACTTCCTGAGCCAAAATGAACCGAAACTCCCAATATTTAAATTTTATATAAAATGGTAGCAGCAAATCTACATAATATACTTATCTACATCATAATCACCATACCTTCTCCTCGAATTATTTTAACACTGTAAAATAAATCGGATACGGTAACAAATTCCTCATCTATTAGTGGTTGAGTAAATCGAGCCTGACAAAAGTTCTGGAAGGTGGTTGACGACCATTGACCTATCGTTGATATACGGGTTGTCGGAGTTTCTACATCTTCCGGAACGGGTGGAAGAATGTTTTGTTCTAAACAAAATAGGTGTTAAAGTTAGTAAGCAAGTTAGCAGTTTATTAAAATACTTATTCTTTTCTACACAGAAAATAACCCAGTCAAATGTTACCACTTTAAGATAGGTTCTTTAAAAAGAATGTCAAGAGATTACCAAAACCAATAAGTTGTCTTACCTAATTGTTGCATTTGTTTCGCCAAATGAGTACGGTTAATTAGTCGTTTTCTGATTACTTTGAGAATCATCTCAACATTCTGCTGACTAAGTTTGTCACAATATTTCTGAAACGAAGACAAACGTATTATTTACTTCATGCGTCTTGAATATGGATCCGTGCTTCACGTTTTACAATATTATAGGGCTTCGGAAGGTCAAAGCGCCAAGTGCCAATATCTCAAAAATTGTTACTGAAACTACTAATAAATCGAAGGTCTAAATTATTTCAAAATGAACATATTTACTTTTAAATGTTAACTTTGATTTTTTTTTTAATTYCAGACGGACAATTTTTCTCGCACCAACGTTTCAGCTTTATTCAAGCTACCCCCTTGCCATAAAAGGTAACCGAGGGGTCTTAAAATGATATAAAAGTTATTTGTCATTATTATAAAATTTAAACGGCACCAAAATAAAAGTAAAATTGATTAAAAAGACAAAGAACAGACAAATTAATTTAACAGCAACCCAATATAAACCTTCACGTAATATAAAACATAAAGTATTATGAGAAATGTATTGTTAATATTATTTTAATTGCGCGACCCACAATAGTGTTATATTAAATAAATTGAGTGTACGTACTTTTGGTGACAAGAAATTAATTCCACACACGGATTGTGCCCATCCATAAGCATATCCAATATCTGGTACTAATATCTGGAATAACCCAAGATTCATTTTCTTCAATAAGTAACCAGTACTCGGATTTGGGCTTTCCATGCCTGTATCATTTTCTACTAACTCACTTAATATATTGTGACCTGCCAAAATCTCGCCAGCCGTGTTAGCTAAAAAAAAGCAATGTTGCACTTTTCATGCAAACCTTTTCGAGTTTTAACAGAATGTGTTACCTGTAATTTTGGACGGTACATCGACATTTGCATTAACAGTCACAAGTTTCAATTTAGTATAGTAACTGAAGTTTAAGCTTAGCTTAGGTCCTTCGTCTATCGCGAACGATAGTTCTATTTTTAGCGGATGAACTTCAAGTAATCTCTTCTTTTTTTCTTCTAGTGGGTCAACTTGTTGGGCAGACTTTCGGTGTCGTCGTTTCTTTACTTCTACTACCTCCTGCAAATAAACAATGCTTTCAATTTGTATGTATTGCAAGTATGTTCGAAATGACCTCACCAAACTTTCCGTTCCATAAAATGATGAACGTGATGAAAATCATAAACATGTCCTACTCACCTCAACTTCTGGTAGCTCAGACTCAGGTTCTGAATCATCTTCATTCAAGCAATTTGCCACTTCTTGAGCTTCATTAAACTGAGTAGCGTCATCCTTGTCTCCAACAATTGAAACAGTAAGATTTGTTTCTAAAATACATAAAATTTGTGGCTTCATTAATAACTGTAAAATAGCGAGTCTACTACTACTTATATAAGCAGCAGTAGACTTATTAGTAGTTTTTTCTTCTACAAATGATAATATCAGAGTATGTATAACCGAAAGATTACGTTAGTCCTATACTACCAGAAAACATATATCATACCAAAAACACTTTTATACGCAACAATGTTTGCGTATAAAATATATAAAGGATCAGGTAAAAGATTTGCTAAACAATGCTCTTTTCTTGTATGGTCTCCAGACATGCCCAAGTGTTCTTGTAGTGGTTTGGCAGCTTTGATCACCACATTCAACAAAGGCAAAAGATCGTTAAGCTTCTCTTTTCTTTCGGTTATTTCTAAAACAAACAATAAATAAAAGCGTCAAATAGCGAATACATTTCATAATCAACTTTAATTACCAGCAACAACTGTTTTCTTTCTCTCCTCCAGAGACTTGCACTCTTCGGCTACATTTTTTCTCTGAGTTAATTCCCATTCTAATCTGGCTAATTTTAAAGCGTGCGCTTCTTCATGATTCAGAGGATCATACTGTAATAATAAAGTAATATTTCAGAATGCTGTCCCCCAAATACAATAATTAACAATACATACGTTTTTAAATTTACTAGTTATGGATGGCGGGGCATTTTTCATGAAGTCCTCAAATGAGACAAGTTCAATGTTTTCATCTTCAGATCTAAAAATATGCAACATTTGTAATTAAACTTTAATTAAAATAACTGCGTAGAAATACACAGTGTTTGAACAATTCACGATCGACACTATTTAGGAAATGCCGTATAATAACGTACTAATCATCAATTCAATCGATATCAACAGCAAAGGGTTGCTGTGGCTTCAATAACGGTATGTGAAATCGTCCCAAGACTGCGAARAGATGTGGAAAACGGATAAAATCCTTTTGTGGGATCTCCCTTTGCATCATCTCTTAGTTTTTCGATGGMACTCTTAATTATTTCCTTTTGGTGGTTGRTAGTTCGTCAATATGTGCAGACATCGGTTCAATATATTATCCTTCGTGCCCCCCTATCATATGYGTATATCCGGCGTAGCTTTGAAGATGTAAGCAATTTGTGGTTGAGAAACGCACGAAAGAAAATCCAGTMTAGAACCGACTCAAAGACTGAAAACCTCGCTACTTTCAAACTTCACTTCCTAACAAGTAGATATGTGATGGAATGAACGAAACGTCGGTCAWAACTGGATGCTCAATTGCAGAGATTAACAGCATGTATAAATAAGTGCAACAAATTTCTGAGGATATTCTGCCTGTTTTTATTCTGTATTGCTGGTCAGGCATGCCCCGCGGATTTTCTATTAATGGCTATGATCCGAAAGGTGCATTCGTTGTCAATTGCAGGCTGAGATACGAGTTGTAGCTTTGCTAGGTTCAGAGGTCTCAGAAAGTTATCACTGCCTTGGATCAGTCTCTGAGTAAAGATTCCATGGCTTCAGTACATTCTAATTTCTATACTTTTGTGATCCACAAACTGAGTGAGAAATGGTTTAAGTAGCTAATTGTTGACTCCAAGTTGAGACCATAGAATTGGGCAAAAGGCTTGGCAAACGTATTTCAAACCTTTGGGATAGCTTGTAGGTGAAGCTGAATCTTTGACCAAATAATGGTTTTTCAACCATATAATTTTATTGATGAATTGGTTACTCAAATACTTTTTTCAACATTATTTTCAGATGTATTATTTCGATCGACTACCAGATAAGTTGCAGATAGTTTAGTCTTGTTTTACATGATGTACCTAAGCCTATAACATTAAGTATAAATAAAGGCCTTATAGTTTATTCTATTTTGATCATCGTAATATGCACAAAAAATACATTTCTTACCTAGTCCAACTGAGAGCTTGACTTCAGTAAAAACGAAGTTACCACTAGTGTGAATACTTACTTGAAAGCCAAACATTTGTTTGTTTCTGTGGTCAAATGGTACAACTCATACACCAAGTTTTGATAGGTAAGTTTGACGCTATCACATTTCTGTTTCTCTAAAATCAGTTGCTGCCTTTCTGCCACTTGGTATAATTTGTCAATTCGGTTCAATTTTTTGATGAGACATATTTTTACAGCTATTTCGGCAAGATTGGCTGAAAGGTTATGTTGCTTTGCCGGTTGAGCCTGAAAGAATTATTCTCTGTAGACACTTAGAGAGAAATTGTTGAGAGAACTTACCTTTTGTGAGTTCTTCAGCTCTTGCACTTGATGCAACTGATCATGGATGCTTTCGATACATTTGGCGAATAGTTTAGAATCCGCAACGACATCACGACTCTTAGCTTCCTTCTCCTCGAATTCGCAAATTTTCTAAAAATGCCCCCACGTTGCTAAAGTAATTTACAAAATAATACAACAGAATATTACTTGATATATATCAGGTTCTGGGTCAGAGTCTGCTACTGTTGATTTCCTTTTCTTTCTAACTGGAGCATTTGTTTCTTTCACCATTTTAAAAACCAAAATTCAGATTGTTCTTACAATTTTAGAAAAGCTCTAATGCTAACGATTTGGATAATTTTTCACTTAACCTCGAAAAACAACCAGTTTGTTCTCTCTCGGTTGATGATTGACGTAACCTTCACAAAATATCCCCCCTCTATGGGGGTATGTTCTGTGGTAACCTTGAACATGCAACTAGCGCATATATCGTAAATGACTCCTTGCTTAAAAAAATGACATGCGCAAGTCAGTTTGAGGTTACGTTAATCAAAACAAACTTCTATTTACCAAAACGGGTATCATAGATAAAGACGAGTATAGATTACCAACTCTCTTGCACAATGTGGAAACAATGTCTATCCTACCGCCATCTATGATGGACCCAGGCACAACTGCGCCACGTCCTTCTTGCGGGGTTTGCGCAAGGCAAGACTTGTTTCTGATTTATAAACAAATATATCAAATTGAATATTAAACATATCTTAATTCCAATGAAAGTAATGGATTACCGACAATAGCAGATACATATTTAGACATTAGTGATTGGTGTTTGGATATGTTGATAATAGAAACTTCATAAGCATTTTCAATTTTTTATTGCAGTAAATAAATATGCGAAACGCCAAGTACCATTAATTTGTGCAAAGTATATTATACAAACCACAAACCTTTGATCAAAAAGCAAAATGAGCATGTTATGAATCAAGGATTAAGAAAATAAACAAATATTTCAATGTAACAACAAATGAATTAATTAAGTGCAATTATCAATGCAGATATATATTTAGGTAGTTGGATGAATATCACAATAATATATACCGACATATAATTGTGTACCCGGATATCGGGGTGATAAGTCTAAAATCTACGATAATAAGTGTAAATTTTATTAATAAACAATAATTGATTAGGACAATTCCCTGGGAAACTAAACAACTTACTATATTATAGTTTCAACAAAATATGTGTGTGACAGTTTTGAAATACCTTGAAAACCTAAATTAAAAAAACTGAAACATTTACGTTAACAATTAAATTTATTAGTTTTATTAAAGTGTTAATATATAAAATGATACAAAAAAAATGACTATAACAAATCTTTATCTTTAGATTTGTTATAATCTTTTTTTTTATTTTAATTTTAAATTAAATTTAATTTTCTGCTTTAGCAGACAAAAAACATTTAAATGCAAATGGTGCAGCCCTAAACGTAACTGGTTTATGGTCATCCAGTCCCCAAGTGGCTGTTGTGGAAGGCAATGTAAGAGCAGCTCTGCTTGTGACAAAAACCGAATGCAAATTGCTCTTTTTAGAATTTGAGACCATAGTTTGTTTTCGATTAATTGCATGTTCAATTTTTTCAAGCTTCTGGTCGATATTTGGTAGCTTAAATATAAACTGCAAAAGTTTCATTATTAAGTATTGATATTCACAAACTGCTTAACTAAGCTATGATAATGTACTAATAATGATAATGAATATGTTACTGCATACGTGTTGCATTATATTTAATCGATGAAATTACAAGGGTCTAACTAATGGCAAATAATTTATAGACCTTCAAGTGACTGTCATAATGAAAAATGCGTTTTATAGTTGCAACTTCGGGATACGGGACTAGGTCAATGTATCAACCCATACAAACGTTTTTGTAAAAAAAATTTTAAATATCCGTAAAAAATAAATTAAGAAATGAGCATTAATATTGAATGTTGCTGTATGCCTCAGTGCGATGATACATCTTCAAGGCGGTAAGCTTCATCATTACTACAATTATATACATGTGGATTGTTGGACGAAACCCACATGGTGCTGCTTTTGTACATTTCTCGGATT